GCCTCCAACCTAATAGCGATGGCCTCCAACCTAATAGCGATGGCCTCCAACATAATAGCAATGGCCTCCAACTTGATAGCGATGGCCTCCAACCTAATAGGTGCTGCTCTCCATGATCCGATGTCCGAACACCTCGAGGTCCTCCACGATCCAAACGCCTGGCGTTCTCTGTCGGCGAGGCCTGGCGGCGTGCATTCTGAGCGACGTGCCCAAGCGCTTTGCCGTGCGCATCCGCATGATCGAGGGTTTGGCAGGTGTGGAGACTACAGCGATGCTGTGGTTGGAGCGCGGGAAGTTGTAATGTTTGGTTGAGCTGGTTGTTTGGGCGCTTTTTCATACAGTACTTTTGCCAGGATGGGATCAAATTCCAGAGTTGAATGAGCTTCATTCGAGAATGAGAAATTGGTGCTTTGACTGACTCAGTGCCGCAGGTTAGTTGCTCCCTTTTTTGTCTTAGAGCCTAGCCGAGCACAGCAGGGCTAGCTTCTGAGCTTGAATCTGAGGTATCGTTATTTGCGGCTGATCGATCCGCACTGCATTGATTTAAAGCGCCTCACAGACACTCGACTCGTTCGTTCTTTACGCCCGTTCAAAGTCCGGAGTCAAGAATGGACCTGGGACAAGAAGTGGGCATGGCTCAAAAGTTTGTATTCGATTCTGTTGAAGCTTCCAGGTATCATTCCCTATTTTGAGCAGTAGAAAGGGCATCGCTACTAGTAACAAGGGCATTACGGCATTACTACTAGTAGCAAGAAGCTACGCACGGTGGAGGCCATTGCTATTAGGTTGGAGGCCATGATTCCTAGTAACAAGACGCGAGCCATGGATATTTTTGCTAAGTTGGATGCTCTTTGAGAGCTGAGACGCTTTGCCCTGGTTGTGGTCCATGAAGCCAACAGTGTGAGCATGCGACGCGGCGATGAGCCAAAGCAAAAGCCAACTCTGTGGGCAAAGAACATGGATACATGATGCAGAAACACTCCAAGACTAAGCCCGACAGCCTATCTATATCTATCTATCATTGTCTATCTAGTTGTACGACAGCGTGTGATATGCTCTCAATGGCTGCATCTCAGGAGACAACTAGAGCAATTCGGCAAGAAGGTAGTTCAACAGCTACTTGGCGAAAACATGGGACCCACTGAAGATGCTCTTTCGCAGCGCTTGCCAGCCTGTTGAACGAATGGAGTCTGCCGCACGGAGGTCGGACTAGTTGCATTGGGCCAGGATCTCAGATCTTTAGCTTGATTACTCGCTTCAGAGTCTTTCGCCTGAAGTGAGTCACGAGTGACCCCATGGTGTTGTCCGTGGGCTATTTTTGGTCTGAGGTATTTTCAAGCTTCAACGTGCCAACAGCCAATGCGCTGATGATGAAGCATACACCGATGACTTTCTGGATCATTTCCTTGATGGATTCTTACTGTCCCGTATCGGGAGCAACATGCTCCTGGATCAGCAGCTTACCTGCAGTTCTCTATGGTATCGTGTTTGGTTATAAGTTATATTTTGTGGCAGATTTGTTCTTTGTCAAGACAGGAAAGGACAGGAGTCTTAGGAATGATAACAAGGACACAATGACCAAAAAAGCATGGCAGGGAAGAGAGGATGGGAAAGGCAAGGATCAGGGAAAGGAAAGGAGAAGAGGAAAGAGAACGGAAGAGAACAGAAAAGAAAGACACCATCATTGTTGGAGTAATTCCTTTGAATCAATGATCTGAATCAATGATCTCCCGAAAATGTCTGGCAACCAATTAAATCCTTGAACCACAAGTAGCAAGGGAACCAACGAATTCCTGCCGTAACAAGTGCATCGCTACGGCCGTAACAATTCCTGCCCACTTCCCACCGAAAGAAGCAACTGGAGAGGCCCCAAAGATGCAACTCAGAAACCATCAACTATAGCAGCATCGTACTATGGCAACTGACCCCCAATGGGCGCGTTCTTCAGTGCGTTCGTGTCGCTCACAGAACCCAGCACTTTGAGAGCTCAAAGATGTGCATGCTGAGTTCACGGTGGAGTGGGTCTTGAATTCTTGAGCTGGAAAACGTTGGATGAGTTCCTTCTCAAAACACGCGTTCGATAGGAAGACAGGAGGAAGGGAGGACGAAAGGAAGAAAGGAAGACAAGCTATAAAGGGCTCACTTCTCTCAAGGTTTGATGGCCACTTCCGTATTCCCCAGAGTCTAGAGGACACATACCCATTTTGGATTGCAGGGGTCCGGGGTTCCGTATTTGCAACCTTCCCAATCAACTGAAAGTCAAACATGAAAGAGTGTGATCGTTCGACCTTTGGTTTCGATTTCGGCATTTCCTCAGGTACTTTGCCCGGGCGCCCAAAGAAGCAGGCATGTGCGGTGAATTAAGATTAACAAACAAAAGCTAAGCCAAAGGCTGTCGGTTGCCCTCAAGAGCAAGTAGTTGAAGGTATTAATGAGCCAAAACCCAAGCCCGTTGGGTTTTAGAACTGAAAGGGGTTCGCTTCATATGCAAGCAGGCAAGCAGTCAAGGGGGTGCTCCTTGTTTTGCTAACGGCGACATTAGGAACCCTTTGGGTTTTAGTTATATTTTTTATCGTTTTGTACGTTTTGAAACCCCCATCATCCTTGGTTCGTGTGGGGTGGGGGGGGGAATGACGTACCGAATGGTGTTGACCTTTTTGGCTGATAGCACCACAGCTCCACGAGGGAGCTGTGTCTAAACGGCTTGGTGTCTCTTTGTTTAGTGTTGTTGTTAAGACTTTCTCAAAAAGAGCATTGCGTTTCGATCCCTTGAATTTGGAATTCGGACTTGTGGTTCGAGTCCCCTGTTGGCACTGTATAAAGTGACATATGGCTGTTCATGCGGGCTCCCGAAAACATTAAAGAACCCAGTTTTTTGGACTTGTGACTTGGCCACTGCATGACTAATGGCAAAAGCCACAGGGTTCCTACGAACGCTGTAATCTTGCTTTCATATCCTATCCAACCTTGGTGCCTCACGCGATCATGGCGGTCATCGGCTGTGGTGTGTGTCCGATATCTGAACCTCAGACGCGGCTGTGCCTTGTGGTTGCTCCTTTGAACCTCTTCTCGTGCCTTTACCACTGTTGTTCCAGCGGGCCGAAGACTGGGCCCCTGGGCCAGGTGGTCTGGCAAGGAAGACGGGGATTATCTCGCCGCGTTGCGATGCGGTGGCCCTTTGCAAACAAGCTGCTGACTATGCGTCGCGCATTTGCCACCCAGATGCACTGGAGATCCGCAAAAAGACGGCCAGTGATTTAGGGCCCTTAGGGTGAGAAACGCTGGAGATTTGGCCAAAGATCTGGTGATCGTGGGTTGGGTGAAGAACTGATTGGCACCCCAAAATGATGGCACTAGTTGTGCTTGGTTTTCTTTTGCCACCCCGAGCACCACTGCCTCTCCAAACGAGAATCCCAAAGAAGCGGTTTTGGAATTCCTCAACACGCGGTCCACGCAAGGGGGTTAAATTTACTTGGTGTCCAACCAATTTAGATGCTTCTGCTTTATGTTCTTTTATTGTTTTGGAAAAACCGTCGTGCAATCTTTGAGCACCCATGAGCAGATTGACCTTTCGTGAGGCCAAATGCACACTGGCCAGCTTCCCGTGGTCCTCTATGACAACTATGAGGCGCCCTGTGGGACACTTGCGGGATTGCCTTTCTTGCGGAGCAGTACAGTCAGTGGCCGGATTCTTCAGCAGTTGATATACGAGCCGGGTGATCTTGGGCACTTTGCTCCGCAGGTTCCACATTCTTCTCGCGAAAAGAGATCAACCCGCGCTCTGATGGGTTGCTTTCTCCCGCTCAAAACCAACGGATCGCTCTCTCCCCGAAAGGACCAAGTGACACACAAACCACCGCCATTTGTCCCCTTCATTTTGCCCAGGCAGGGAAGGGTGCGTGCCAAGCTGACTCACCGTGCTACTTCAGCTGCTCCGAGTGATTCAGAAGCGGACACCGGCACAATGATAGGCCTTGAGCGATATTTTGGACCAGAACTTGGTGGTCAGGTTGATGGGTTTGGTGGCTGCGAAACCTTATGGAGTTTGAAGCTATGCAAGGAGGCTGTGAGAATTGAGAATCCAATCAAATCCAGCTGGACCCAAACCACCTATGTGCTAACTGATGTGGATGCCCCATTATGTCCTGTAGTGTGGGTGCTGAAAAATCTGAAAATCTCGAAGCTTGTAGAAGAAAAGACTGATCAAGCTGATTCGAGGCTACATTCCTGGCTATTTGCGCTACATCATGGTTGAGTTGCTGAAGAACAGCTTCAAGGCAACCTTGATGGGAGCGACAGCTGCAGAGATTGCAGAGCGACCCATTCACATCTTGATCTGCCGGCGACTCAGACCAGTTGGCTTGCCTTTTTTAGGAGAAAGTCCCATGGAAAGTTCGCTGGGTTTTCGGTTTTTCGGATCCAAACAGCACACCAGTTTGGGCCCACGAACCCACAATCATTTAAAGGATTGGTTCCAACCGGGGATGGCATGGCACGTCCCCCCATCGGTGCCATCCCAGGTCGGGACGAGTGCCATGTGGCCATCCGCGTGAGCGACCGTGCCGGAGGGATCCCATCACATGTGGGGGAGCGCATTTGGTGCCTGGGCCGGGGGGACGGGTGGGATGGATGGATCCCACGGTGAGACATGAAATAGGTAGGTAGACTGAAGTGAGATAGATGATGACAGATTATGATAGATTTAGATAGGGATTCATAGGTGTGTTCTGAACATGTCCTGGCCAGATGATCATGTGATGTTGATGTGAAACATCTATTTTTGGTTGCATAAGGCACCAATCAAACCTCCCATTGGTGTACTGTAGTGTTTATGACTGCCTATGGAACAATAACATTCAATGAATAGATCTTTGTATTGGTATGATCTTCGTCCCGTTTTCTTTGAGTTGGTGTTGATCTACGCCTTCGAGCCTCCAACGCATTCCATTTTGGACTCTTCCTCCCTCAGGTCCTACTTGTACGGAGCCGCTGCGCGCGGCTCGGATGATTGCTCTGCGACCCCCCTTGTCGGGCTACGGCGTCGGCTGCTTGACAGCAAACAAGTGACATCAGCGGTGGTGCGTCCAACACCAGGAAAATCAAGACAAACCCTCTTTCACATGGTCTGTGGGTGTTGGCGCTGGGTTGAACCGGCATGGGGGCACCTGCGCATCGGATTCACCTCAGCTGATGTGGAGTGAGGCCTTCCGTTGTCAAGGCTGCACGCTCGATATTTGGGAGGTCAGCTACAGATCAACACCTATCCAGGAGCACCGAACGTGAACTGGACTGGCTTGGGCAGTAGGCCCGAATTGATGCATTTCAATCTCAGCGTTTTGTTTAGGTCCAGGTAGAATGGTAGAGTCATGTCCATCGCGGAGGAAGATGGTGACATTGCAACAAACAGGTGCTATGCCACGAGACATGTACCACCATTTTGTCGACTTTTTACCCTATGTTCATGTCCCTACGTTCTAGACTCGACCCACGTCCTCGAAAGATCTGGTTCGATGTTTTACGTGTTTTGTAATGTGAATTCTGAAGCCCTTTGCTACTAGTAGCTTCTTGCTGCTAGTAGTATGGCCAGGAGCGCCCCTAGTAGCTTCTTGGTCTTCCAAAGATCTTCGATTCAACATGATTCAACCCTAAGACCATCAGTGATGCCTCCAGATCCCGCGGGTCCTTCGGCATGGCCGTCTCGGCGGCGGCGGATGCGCAGGATTTGGCACGGACGCCTCGGTCCGACTTCCTCGCATTACGAGTGAGCAGGTCGAAGAAATCGAGATTTGATGAGATCAATTCGCGCGCAAAAAGACATCGTGACATCGATGGTCGAGTTCTAGAGTCTTTGAGGAAGTCCAACTTTTCAGCTTCACAAGACCTGAGGCAGCCAGCTAAAGCTGGAAGTTCGAACAAGTGGCTGGTGCCTGATGAGGAAATGATTGAACCCCAAGTGAGCCACGACCAAAGCACCGAAATGGGTGTGGTACCTTATACATGACGTCTTGTAGACCGGTTTTGGCGCACCTTTTCAGATGTATTTTGAGTGGTTGACTAGGATTGCAAGACTAGGTCTTGGCAGGATTTCATATGTCCTTTGTCACTGAGCGCATAAAAGTATTGTTTCTTGCGAACGTGGTTCGTTTAGCCTACATCTGGAGGACGCGGAAGAAGCAGGAGCTGCCTCACCGGTCTTGAAGGCGTGGCCGAAGGGAGAAGACGCTGGAACCACAGGCTGTTCCCACAGGGCAATTTCAATTGAGATCCTTTGCAGAACAAGTGGTTGTCTCTGTGTTTTTCTGGTTGGGACTGGGTTTTCAGGCCGAAGAACATGGTCTAAACTGATCTAAGCTGTCTGATGTTCAGGGTTGGCCACTGAGGATGAACACGAGAACAGATATATTGATGATATATGTAAAACATTGTAAAACAATTGCTGGTAGAGGGGGTTTATTTATGTTTACAATTTATTACATATTCATCAACAGTCAACATCATCCTGAACCTTTATGAGATGTCTCAATGTGCGAGGCCCAGGATGACCGTGAAAGAGAAACAGGTCCCATCCATCAAGACTTTCACGGTCCCCACAGTAGGTAGAAGGATACTGATGTTCATCCCAAATGTTGCATCAGTTCATATTTGCCATGTTGAAGGGACAACTGTCTCACCTCCCTTGAACTCCCCCAAACAAAGCGACACCATGCAACACCCCAGTGTTTCTTTTGCGCATCCCCATCAAGAACCCAAACCCCGTGATGATCTGGTGGTCACGGGTCACAAACCTGGTCTACTGGGGCTCCTCCCCGACCAAGCCGCGGAGTCCGTGGGTCGACTCTGGTCCAGGCCAGCTTGCGCTTGAAGGGCGGCCACCTCAGCAGCCGTCCAGACGTCCGTCGCCGGATCGCCGATCGACGCGGCCTCGACGCGCCGCCGGAGGTGTGGATGGACGGGACTTCGAGCCGCCGCAGGCCGTGAAGCAGGTCGTGGGGGCGCACGGAGACAGGCTGAAGCAAGATGACATGGTCGAAAAGACTGAAAGACTGGACATCAGTGGAAATCAAAGGAGCAAACATCATTTAAAAACAATGGGCCTCTTGAAAGACACATTGTGACATGAACAAGTAAGCAACGTTCATCACACGCTTGTTGAATTGGTACTTTCAAAAAAGACAATCTTTTGGTTGGCGATGGCGTGCGAGCGGCCTAAGGCACCTCCTCCTCTCTATGGAGGAGCCGACCGCCGTTCCCCATACAGCTTCGAGTTTTGGATCGAGGCCCATTGGAAGTTGTGGATGGAACCCCCAAAATGCCCTCGCTGGCCAGGTGGATTCCCATGTGAGCAGCTCGAGCTACGTTGTGGAATGGCGAGCCTGGCCTGGCGAGACATGGCAAGCTGCCGCGCTGAAAGCCTTGGGCCAGGAAGATGGGCAAGAGAGGCCCGCTGGCTCGACGGAACCCAAGGACTCGCAGGGTCTGAAGGTAGAGCAGTTCATTTGGGACTGTGGCCCGAGCCCACCCGAAGGGGTCGAACTTCGGGTCCGAGCTGCGGCGCCTTCGATGCAGCGGAGCAGTCGTGGGTGGTTTTCCCCCATCTCTGGACCTTTTGCCACAGCCTTTGCTGTTCCGGAGAAGCCCAAAGCCACGCTCCTGGTGAGTGAACCTCACTTGGCAGTGGCCATCACCTTCGCTCTGGGCGGCCCCAGTAGCGTGCCAGGACCCACAGAGCCTGCAGGGCCGGTGGCGCTGGGGCACGGTCACTGCTTGGCCAGAAGAGTGCAGATCTGCTACCGACGGGCAGGAGATGCTGATGAGGAAGTGGTGGAGATGAAGCCCCGCGAGCTGAGGCTTCAAAGCCGGAGCGACCTTTCGGCTTCAGCTGAGAACTCGGTGCCGTCAGGTGGAGAACTCGTGATGATCCCTGCCACGCAGCCGCGGTTCTGGGAGGGTCAGCGGCTTCTCTTTGCGGTGCGGATCGGTGATGAATACCGATGGTCGGCATGGAGTTCCTTCAGCAAGCCTGTACATGTCCACTCCTCAGAGTGACACCATCGAACACTGCATCGCAACTTCCCTCCCAGGGAGGGAGAGTACTTTCTAGTTGAGAGGGCGTAGTTGAAGCAAGCATACTCATGACATCTCATGACATACTCTTGGCAACTTGCTGTTGAAACGATGGTTCTGAGGAATTCGGGATGCAGAGTTGATGCATGTTGATGCTAGATACTACTTGGCACACCCGAATAAGAGAGAGAACTCTTGCGGCTTATGGTGTTGTGGGATGTACATGTCTCTGAGATGAAACATGCAGTTCTTCGAGCAGCACCTGTCTCCACGGGACTCATTGCGAAGCCTCTGTCTCCAGCCACGCACTGAGTTCTGAGTGGATCTTGATCTTGGCAAGCGCATATACTGTACCCTTTTGCAGAGAGATGCAGAGAGACTTGGGTGTGGTGGAAAAGTTGAACAATGGCTAGTAGCAAGGACGCTATTAGGTGGAGGCCATCGCAAGTAGGTTGGAGGCCACGAAGCTACTAGTAACAAGAAGCTATTAGGGGCTCCTGACCTTATCACTAGGACAAGGACGCTAATAGTAGCTCCTGGCCTTACTCCTGGCCTTACTAGTTTCATTTTCAAAGGATTTCCTCAACTCCAAGACCACGAAGCGCTTGCGCGCTTGCGCGCTTGCGCGCTTGCGCTTCTCTCGCTTCCCGCGACGCGCAGGAGCGGGTGGGACTGCAATGGTCGTCCTGTGCGGCTCTGAGCTTCGCCTTTCGGGGCGGGAAAGAAGTCCGTCCTGCCAGTCCTTAGTCCTTGACTTCCTGAAATCATCATGGAAGTCTAACGGTCGCCCGGTACAAAACGACCGTTTTCCGAAACAGGTGGGGTTTCCATGGTTTTCATACTTCCATGATCTTCCATGATCATTTCAGGGAGTGTGTATTTGTATATATACATATATCACATATATACAGTATATATACATATTATACACACATTTTTGTTTTGCAACTATACTTGACGCTGTAAGGTGTCGCTCTCGCAGGTGTCGAGTACATGGTGAGCATGGTCCAATTTGGAGCCACCGGGCGGGAAGTCACCTGGCCTCATCGATCGGGATTCCTCTGTAGCGGGAAGCCGTCGCCGGATCCGAGGGTCGTGCCTGGTTTGGAGAGTTGGTTTACAGACTCCACAGTGGATACCTGGTGGGACTTGAATGAACACATGGACACGGGCCATTGCTTGTTTCGGCCGCCGTTGGCAGGGACACCTTTGATGATCTGAACAGTAGAGGATTTGATTGAAATCGACCATCATCGCCGTGCTTCGACCCGGCCCAGCTGAAAGGTTGCCAGCTGGCAAGACCCACCCAAGTGCCATTTGGGGGGGCGGTACAGTGCATCCCAGATGTTCGTGAATTGCTCCGAATGTGCTGACATGATGTGTCAGAATTTTTCATCAACTGAAGAGCCAAGGCCACTTGCCATCAAGTAGGCGGCCTAATTGGGATAGGGAGATCCCCTACCCGTTGGGGTCCCAGAATGTTTTATATACTGTAAGTTCTTTTGGCTTTCCTCACAGGTCTTGCAGGGGGCACCAACCAGAGAATTCCTTGTTCTTCCTGCGCCCCCCCCCAAGTCCAGGTGAAATCTACCGGCCAGCTGATGGCTTTGTGGGCCGAGGATGGCCTGGACCGTGAAGGCGTACGGATCGGATTGGGCGAGACATTGATTATGGTGGGACCGCCATGCAGGCACCAAGTAGGACCTCCATTTTGAATCATCTTGACATTTGGGTCGAAGCCAGGATCCCTTGCCCGTTTGCAGATGGTCTTGTAACCTGAGGTCTACAGTCTAGTCTACAGCATGATTTTCCCGCCCTGAAATGAGGGATGCTCTTTCATGTGAGGCATTGAGCTGGACATTGACATCGGACGTGTTCGCCCTGGAGCATCCTTGCAATTCAGACTGCTTGCTCGAACTCAGCGCCACACCCTGGGCACACCCTGCTTCGAGGAGCTCGCCCGGAGCGAGGTCCTCGTCTGGCCCAGCTGGAGCGGCGTTTCCGGCGGCGCGGCGGTTTCCGCGGCGGGCACGGCTTGCCTGGCGGCGGAATCCTGGGATTTGCCCGTGCCCCATCTGCTTGCCGTGCCTGAAGAGCTAGATGCCACGGGCCGTTGGCGGGGAAGAGCTGTGCTTCT